TATCAGGTCATTAGTTGTCAGTGGGTTTCTTTCCAATGAGGGAAAGGAGAGTGTCTTCACCAGTTGTGAGGAACTGGCAAAGGAGAGAAGGTGGGAAGGAGAATTCAGGTGACTATGACGTTTCTTAGGCTCCCAGTGACTAGTGTTTTCTGAATGCTGACCGAGTAGCAATAAGACTTGAAGCTGTTCAATTAATTACTGTTCAGTTAAGACGCGTTGCATCCCTCCTTCTACCTTCCCACATCTCCTCAGCCAGCCTTGGCCGGTGGAGACAGCAGCAGCAGCCTATTGCTGTCTGCAGAAGGGTCTGTGTGACCAGGCTGTTTTGGGAAAATGCTTCGAATCGATGAGGGGTGGGAGCTGATTTAAAGACCGTGGAACCCAGACTTGGGAGAAGACTTGATCTACTTGGATTCAAAGGCCCCATGCTGGAGCCCAGAGACTGGGTGTCCCACACAGAATGTGGACCCCTTCAACAACTCCCCCCTGGGATCTCAGCCCTCATCTTGGAGGGGCTAACCCACTTGTGCTGCTGCTGGGCTGGAGGCTGTCATCTGACCACCGTGCTTGTTCAGTGGCTCCAGGCATCTCCAGCCTGTGGATGCCTCTCCAGGCTCCCTGGTGATGCAGCAGAGAATTCTGAGGGGAGAAGTGGCCATTGCAGAAAAGATGAACAGTGCCACAGGAAGGGGACTGAGACGGGGGCAAAGTAGGGGTTGGGATGGTGAGAGGGAATCCTGGAAGATACATTTGGCTTTAGTGGAAGCTCTGTTTAAAATTTCCGTAATTCATGGTGGAAATTCCAGGCACCCTGGGGGCTTCTGGGCACCATAATTTGCATGTAAGGGGAATGGTATATTTCACCTTTGAGCAGAGCCCCAATTACCTAGAGTGAATTTCCTGATGAAATCTAATTGAGACAGCGACATAAGCCAGGCACTCAGAAAACAGCTCTTGCCTGGGGGGAGGACAGTCGTGTCCTCTTCAGCTGGTTGGCAGTCCTTGGCCCTATGCCCCCTCACACTCTGCAAGTTTAAGAGGCAGGGCCTCTCTATGAACTAAAATCCAAGATTTGAGATTTGAACTATAAAACAAGATTTCCTAGGGTTTAAACCTTTCTGCTTGGTTGAAGCAGTTGAGCTACATGTATGGAAACTCCACTGCACCCAAGAAATTGAAATTTCCGGGCCAGGTCTGCAAGAGAATTGGGGAAAGCAAGGTCAAGGGTAGCACATCTGAGCACCCTCCACTGCCGCTCTGCCTATCAAAATGCTCTCTCCAATGCTGAGCTGATGGTGCCCCTCTGAAGA